TGGCTGTAGAATCAGCGTTTTCACCTCCAGGATGTCGAGCCTCTGTCTCAGGCTGTAGTTCAGAGAGTAAAACTCAGCAGTCAGATATTCCACAACCTGAGAAACAGACAGAACGTTATTCACTTTTACTAGTAATAATAATAATAATAATAATAATAATAATAATAATAACACATCAAAACATTTTTAACATGACAAAGTTACCAAAATATCATTTTAAATATTAATAGAACTGTGATAAAACTGGATCATTATACTGTGTGTGTGTGTGTGTGTGTGTGTGTGTGTGTGTTAAGAGCTAAATTATTATAATTTTTTAATATGGTGTTATATAGTAGAAAAGAAATTATTTATTTATTTATTTTTAAATATAAGTTGTATGTGAGCTCTAAATTGAATGAGAAAATCGCACTGAAGTGTGTGTGAAGTGTGTGTGAAGTGTGTGTGGTATCTTACCGGCTGTGTGTGTGTGATCGCAAGGGCCACCATGGCGTTTTGTCGGAGTGTGTAGAAGCCTGTGATGTTGTACCTGTCCTCCAGGTGTAACAGCACTTTACTGAACTGTACGCTCACCTGATACACACACACACACACACACACACACGTGTCTGTATTAATGCATTTCCAGGCAACCGATACACAGTAATGGGAAACACATTGCAGCTTTTACCTGCTAAAAAATGAACAGTTTGTCCATCCAGTGTTTAGGACAAAGCATTTACAGTGCGATCAGAAAGTATTCAGACCCCTTCACATTTTACTGTGTTGCAGCCTCATGCTAAAATGCTTTAAAACACTTTTTCACATCAATCAACACTCCACTCTAGAAGACTGGCTGCCCAAACTTCTTCCATTTAAGAATTATGGAGGCCATTGTACTCTCAGGAACCTTCAAAAATTGTTTTGTAGCCTGACACAATCCTGTCTCTGAGCTCTGAGGCAGTTCCTCTGATCTCATGGCTTGGATTTTACTCTGATATGCGGTTTCAGCTGTTAGACCGTATATAGACAGGTGTGTGCCTTTCCAAATCCGGTCCAATCGATTGAATTTGACTCCAATCAAAGTGCAGAAACATCTCAAAGATGATCCAGGAAATGGGATGTACCTGAGCTAAAGTTCAAGAGTCATTACAAATGGTCTGAATACTTATGTCAATGTGCTCTTTCAGTTTTTTTCTTTTTAATAAATTTATCACAAATCTGGTTTTTGCTTCGTCATTATGGGGTCTGGAGTGTAGACTGATGTGAAAAAAAAAAATTCAAGCATTTTAGCATAAGACTGCAACACAACAAAATGCGAAAAAAATGAAGGGGTCTGAATACTTTCCGAATGCACTGTATGACCTCTTGGTGACCTCTTGGTGACCTCTCACCTCTCGTGTGGTGCTGATGTTCCTCCTCAGAAGCCCGTCTGCTGCCTGAAGACTCAGCTCCACCCTCTCCGGGTCATCAGACGACATCAGGGCTGTCAATCAAACACAGCCCATGTCTGAATATAATCTCACACACTATCAGGTTCACACACTATCAGGTTCACACACTATCAGGTTCACACACTAGTGTTGCTACATTGATTCATTCATGGTTTAGTAATTCCATTATCGGTTTGGATGTTTTCAATCAGACACAAGTACCAAAGGTTCTAGCTGGAACTTAACTAATGAAGCGAGTAGAACTGTTCATGGCTGAGTGGGAACATATTGTGCAGCACCACACACACACACAAACATTACATTAAAAAGAAAAAAAAGATGCATCAATATAACATTTTTTAGACCGAGTACATTTGGTCATTTTTTGGTACTCATCGTTACTAATACTTAGTATTACTCGATCTGGGCCATCACAGAACATCTCATTTAGCTCTGTTTATGTTTGTTGCTCTCCTGGTTCCTTGAGGACTAGCGGTTAGGCCTCGGCACGCTCGCTGCCACGGCCCGGGTTTGAATCCCGCCCAGGGAACCGACCCCAGCCCCTGTGCACTCCCAGTGCCGGTCCCAAGCCCGGATAAAATCAGGGAGGGTTGCATCAGGAAGGGCGTAAAAATATGCGGACCGATGATCCGCTGTGGCGACCCTTAACAGGAGCAGCCGAAAGAACAACAACAACAACATGATGTCTGTTGCTTTCCTGTGCTGCTGGCAATGAGCTCCTCGTGCTGAGCTTTACGTTCACGATGTTCCAGTATAAATAGTTCCATCATAGAGAGCGCGAGGACAGCCGACCCGAGCGCTCAGAGCAGTGTCAGCGAGCGTGGGCATTAAAAATGAGTGTAGAGTGTCTCAGTGCTCAGTTTGTTTATTAGTACATTAGGTTTTTACGTCATCTGATATTAGATGTTTGGTATTTATTTATTTTTTTACAGATGTTATGAGATGTCAGTGAGTATCATTTAATATAATAATTAGTATCCCTAAAAAACCTGAACATTTTTAGTTGATGGTGTCGTGTTCATGATGTCAAAAAAGGTTAAAAAGCAACACTGTGCTGTTATATACTGTATATTTCTCCAGAAATTACCAAACTGTTTATCAAACACTAAAGCAGCATGAACAAATAGAAATATTGTTTTCTGATTATAAAACCAGAATTCCACAACTTGGATGTGCTCTTGTGAATGTTTGTGAACGTGCTGTGGAAAAAAACACTGCTTTTGCTGACAAATGTGTGCATCTCGATCCATCAACAACAAACATGTCACAGTGTTAATTACTGAAACACATGTCTGACAAATAGACAGATATTATACTGAACACAACGCATTCAACATCCTTTATAAAAATATACACATTTTTAATTCTAAGTGTTTTTAACGTATAATCAGTTTCTGAACTGCTCCCATTAGGACATTTTTTTGCATCACTCCCTATAAAACACTTGTGAGTGGATTTTATTCTGATTTTTTTGGATAAATGTCTCTGATGAAATGAAATCAGTGTAAATTATTATAATATTAATGCTCAGTGGCGTCTCACCGTCCAGACAGTCTCGGACGTAGCGGGGCGGAGTCGCCTTCTGCTTCACCTGATCAGCAGACATGTCATACGGAGTGAGCTCATCATCACTGAGAGAGAGAGAGAGAGAGAGAGAGAGGGAGAGGGAGTGTGTGTGAGAAAGAGAGAGAGAG